AGGTCTACCATGTTAGATGTTCGGTCAAACTTTCAAGTGCAATCACGTGGTTCATTGTCCTTAGAGTACTCTCCACGATGTTGATTTGAGGTATGGAGACATCATTACCCCTAACCGGTCGACATCTCCATGGTGCGGTTGACCAGTATAATTCTGCACAACTACATTTTCAACATCAAGTGGACCACAACATATTAGCGGTCGACAATTCTTCTCATTTGCAACAGTTTAATCACGTTGTAAGTGTATCAATCGATCGTCTATCTTGTGGATGTTATCGACCATTTTATCACTTAAGGTGACTTTGAAAAACATACCCAAATTAAGGCCTTACAATAATAATATTTTGACAATTTCACTTAAACAGAAAAGAATAGATTAGTCTCAAAGTTGGAAGTCAAATGTATATATTAAAGGCTTGGAGGGAGACATTTTTCTGTTTTGTTACCTCTCAAGTTGGAAGTCAGCTATATATATTATTGCCTCTAAGTGGAATAACATATTACAGATGCCTGGTAAACACAGATGACGACAAATAAGTGAATAATACAAACAACAACATACATACAGAATTGATTTCATAGAATACACTATTTCTTTTTTCTTTTACATTATTTATTTGATGTATTTACAAAAAGGAAAAATTTCTTCAAATATAGACGTTAGGAATTATTTTTTTTTTAGATAACGTTAGGAAATATAATTATTTGACAATGTAAACATTTTTCAAATGTATTGGTAGTACAAAAGTCTTTTAGATGAGTCATGTTTTAATTGGCCACTTTATAATATTTTCTGTTACATATAGTATGTTTCATTTTCTTGTTTTTATCCTAATAAAGGCAATTACAAGACCAAACACAACATATTATTTGGCTATTTATTCATATATAATATTAAATTTTAATAATTATTTATGTTAAATTTCTTTACAAATCGTAACGATCGCAAAATAAATAATTTACTTGCAAACATAACCTATATTTGAAACCGATCTCCAAACTACTAATTACTATTTTACTAGAAAATAGTTCAAAAGTATTATTGAAAAATAATTGAAAAGTATTATTTGAAAATAATTGGTTTCGGAGAGGCCCAATCACCGTTGTACGAGGGATGTGCTTCGAATGTGTCAAGATTGTCATTCGTCACAAAGCTTATGAAAATCAAGTGGGAGAATAACTGGAGCAACAATTCATTTACCCAGTTGGTCAAGTATATCCGGGCTGTATTTCCTATGGCGCAATCACTTCCGAAGAATTACTATGAAGCAAAGCAGCTTATGAAAGCTCTTGGGCTACACTACGAAGAAATAGATGCATGTGAGGACGATTGCGTCCTATACTACGCCGAGCTGGCAGATGCGACATCTTGCCCCACGTGCAAAAAATCAAGGTGGAAGAAAGTTTATAAGGATAAGAAGGGCAGAGATAAGAAAATTCCGTGCAAAATTATACGGTATTTTCCCATCAAACCACGGCTACAAAGATTATTCATGTCGTCAAAAAATGCTGAAGATATGGTATGGCATGCTCTAAATCGCTCGAAAGATGGGATCATGAGGCACCCATGTGACGGAGAGGGTTGGACTGCTTTGGACGAGTTTGACCCATCTTTTGGTTCTGAACCCCGCAACGTTCGTTTGGGACTAGCGACTGATGGTTTCAACCCATTCGGCAATATGAACAACAAGCACAGCACGTGGCCGGTCCTTCTATTCCCGTATAATCTTCCTCCTTGGAAGTGCATGAAGAATCCTTTCACCTTCCTGACATTGCTCATTCCTGGCCCAAAAGCTCCGGGTAATAGTATTGATGTTTTTTTGAGACCTGTTATTGATGATTTGAAGGCTTTGTGGAATGAAGGCTTGTTAACTTATGATGCATTCAAGAAGGAGAACTTCATCATGAGAGCTGCATTGTTGTGGACCATCAACGATTTTCCGGCTTACCATAATCTTTCTGGATGGAGTACGAAAGGTAAATTAGCTTGTCCATCGTGTGCAGGGGAAACATCGCATTTGAGGTTGACGAATGGGCATAAGGAGTGCTATATGGATCATCGTCGGTTTTTGCCTTTGGATCATAAGTGGCGCAACCAAAGGAAGCAATTTAACGGTAGAGTAGAGAAGAGGCCCAGACCAAGGCAATTGTCATCACTCGAGGTATCAAATCAGATCCACTCATTCGATCAAATTGTGTTTGGGATCAAAGGAAAGGGTAAAAAGATCGATGGATTTGGTAAAGAACATAATTGGAAAAAAATTTCCATTTTCCTTGAATTGCCATATTGGAGTTCACTTAAGTTACGCCACAATTTAGATGTCACGCATATTGAGAAGAACGTGTGTGACAGTGTTTTGGGTACAATGATGAGTATTGAAGGCAAAACCAAGGATAGTCTAAATGCCCGCAAAGATTTGCAGGAGATGGGATTGAGAAAGGAATTACATCCTGTAGAGAGGAACGGGAGAACAGTGTTACCTCGAGCTTTATATAGCTTGCTGCCAGCGCAGAGAAGGGAATTCTGCGAGTGGATATCAAAGTTAAAGGTTCCAGATGGTTATTCTGCCTATTTGAGAAATTGTGTGAATGTTCAGGAAGGGAAGATTTCAGGAATGAAAACTCATGATTGTCATATCATGTTGGAAAGATTAATACCTCTTGCAGCTAGGGACTTCTTTCCGAAGGCTATAGCAGACCCCTTAATTGAGTTTGGCAATTTCTTCAAGAATATATGTTCGAAGGAGCTAAGTTTGAAAGAGTTATCAGCCATGGATTCTGAAATCGCCATAACCCTCTGTAAGTTGGAACGTGTATTTCCCCCGGCATTCTTCGATATCATGATTCATTTGGCCATCCATCTACCTTGGGAAGCAAAAATTGATGCACCCGTCCAATATCGTTGGATGTATCCAGTGGAAAGGTATGAATTTCATTAAATTTAATAATTTATTGTTTTTCGTTTTTACTAATTCTTGAAACATGTCCAATTTTTTTTTTCTTTTTCTTTTTTACTAATTCTTGAAACATGTCTAAAAATTTATTGTTTTTGAAGTGTTACGTTGTCCGATGAAGAGGATTAATTATTAATATTTCCTACTTTTTTAACTAGGTATTTGAAGAAATTGAAAGGTTGGGTTCGAAACAAGGCAAGACCAGAAGGATCTATTGCTGAAGCATACGTGATTGATGAGTGCGTTACATTTTGCTCGCAATACATGACGGATGTGGAAACTCGATTTAATCGTCCTGAAAGAAATGATGATAGTATTCCGGAGGGAACCGTTCACCCACATAATTTGTCAATTTTGCCACGTGTCGGTCGTTTTATTGGTACATTCGTCATGAAGGACTTTAATGATGATTTGTTCAAGGCTGCAACATTTTATGTCTTGCAAAACTGTGACGAAGTCGAGGATTTTAGGAGGTACGTACAATTTATACTTCTTCAATACTGTGTGTATTGCTACAATTAATAATCATTATTTTAAGAATTTGCATATGTATGTATACTATATGTAGACAACATAAGGAATTTTTGGCTGGACGCGGTGCGCGAATGGTTGAGAGAGTGCACAGGGAAGAATTCCAAAAGTGGTTCGCTATTCAGGTAATTAACTATTTTGACACGTAAATTTTGAAGTGTTGTCGTATTATGATATTCGTGTACAAGCCAACAAAAAAAATTGCTTCATGATGCAGGTGGCCAAAATGATTGATGACAATGTTGCAACTTTGCATCCCTCTATGTTGACTTTGTCTCGAGAGCCGGACAAACGAGTGTTGCACTACTCAGGCTATTGCATCAATGGATTTAGATTCCACACGCAAGATCACGAGATTAGAAAAACAAGTCAAAATAGTGGAGTCATGGTGCGAAGTGAGGAAGGTGTGGGGATTCCTTACTATGGCGTAATTGAAGATATCATAGAGTTGCGATATACCGAAGGCCTTCGTGTAGTGTTATTCCAATGTGATTGGTATGATACCACGCGAGAAGGCGTAGGCTATAGGAGGGATGACCACGGTGTTATTAGCCTCCATCGAAGACGAAGGCGACCAACGGACGAACCTTTCGTTTTGGCAAGTCAGGTAACCCAAGTGTATTATGTGCAGTGTGCCAGAGATCCGGAATGGGACATGGTGGTTGAGACAAGGCCGAGGAATTTTTATAATGTGGCGGATGTCGAGGAAATTTTAGAAGAACAAGCATACCAAGAAGACGAAATGACTAATGGGGTTCGAGTTATCGAGGATGAGGACGACGATGTTAACTTAAACTTGCGTGGCATGGGTTATGAAGAATTTCTTTAATCATGTAATATGACTTCTAAATTTTGTTTACCTACATTACAAACTTGTTATTTTATATACATTATCAATTTTCATTTTGTTAAACATATACATTATGGTATTGTTATTTTCTCTTGAATATAGTCTTGAAAGCTAAAATATCTATATTCATAAAAAAATATTATGTATATTAGAGATAAAAAATATTATGTATAAAAAAATATCTATAGTCGTGAAAGCTAAAAAAATATTATGTATATTAGAGATAAAAAATATTATGTATTAAAAAAAATATATAGTCTTGAAAGCTAAAAAATTTGGGTGAAATTGCAATACACAACAGCGTTGGGTTAAATTCCAATACACTCGCCGCTTAAATATCTAGTCTTGATAAAATTTCTATTTTGTTACATTGGGTTAAATTGCAATACACAGCAGCGTTTAAAAAAAAAAGAATTCACACTACACTCCAACACAAAAAACGGCGACGCATTATGATAAGCATCAACAGGTGGGTGTCTCAAAGAGGGAAAACTCCCCTTCGGTCGATTGAGTTCCTATTTCCCCTCTTTTCCATTCTCATTTCAGACGACGAACCCTAATTATTCCACCCTTCGATTGATTGACTTCCCCAGACTTCCCTCGAATGAAATCGCTATGGAAACTCTCGCCGCTTAATGGAAATCGCTATGGAAACTCTCGCCGCTTTAAGACTGAGTGAAGGAGACAGCGGAGAATCCATCATCAGATGGAGAGGCGCACGACGCGAGAAGGCTATCGGGATTGGCCGCTGCGTTTCTGGGAGGTACGAAGCGTCTGGACTTGTTTTGATTCATTGAATTAATGACGACATGCATTTACTTTCGATCATAATTGTGAGTTGCCCGTTACTTGATTCATCCGAGTTTTTGGCCTTCAATTCTTTACCCTATTCCTAGAATCAACTCAGCGAACTAGTTTACATTTATTAGGATTCTTTGATTGATTAGGAGTCTTCTATTTATAACGAATGTCCTCACACATTACTTTTACATACACAGAACCCCTCCCCTCAGGCAATCAAAAACACAGAACGAAAAGCTTTATTGATCTGCTCGTGCTAGCTAGATGGGAAGGCCAAAAAAGGCTGGGAAGTCAAAGCCATCCAAAAGGCCAGTGGAGGAACCAGGAAGGTCAGCCACTCTAGAGACTGTCGAAGTGGTTCCTCAGGAAAATGAAACTGTGCCAGAAACTCAGCAGGCAACAAGGGAGGGTGAACATTTGAATGAGTTGGAGAATGAAGAGGTTCAGCCCTCGAATGACGACATAGCTTTTGAAGAGGACGTGAACCTCAACCAGGGGGCTCACTCTACTGGGGGAGGTTCTTCAGCTCAGAAGAAGAATGGCAGAGGTCCTGGAATAAGGGTGAAGCCTGGACATGGCCTTCACCTTGAGATACATGACAAAAGGTAATAAATCATGATATTCCCCTTCTACGTGACAAGCTGTAATTTCCATTGAGAATGAGGCCTTATGAACGTTATTTTGTATTTTCAGGATCGTCACACAACAGGCTGCCCATGAACTCACTTCTATCTTCAAAAGGGGCATCACTGGTCCATGGATTAAGTTCTCGGAGTACCCTGCTTCTGCTTTGCAGACCGTGATTGCTCGTTTCAAGGAATCTGGGTTCATATGCTCTCTTTCAGAAGAAGAACTCAATGTTCATCTCAAGGAACACATCAAGAGGAACTTTTCCCAGTGGATGTATGGGTTCCGCAACCGAGTCTTCAATCAATATCCTACCCTTGCTGAAAGGATTAACAATCCACCTTGCAAATACAAATTCCACGTATTGTCTAAATAATGCAACATTGTAACTTAATGACTTCATTTCTTTGCTTTTTTGTTTGAACTCTTTCTCTCTTTGCCTCGTTCCATGCATTCCTCTACTACATCCTTGAAAAGATTTTTTCATGCACGGTTTTCAAAATGTGTAGCCAGATACCATAAAATCTCCTTTCGAGCCGGTAATTTGTGTTCTTCTCCTATCTGCATTATGGCATGTAACACTTCGTTAGAACTAAAAAAGTACAAATTAAACAAGTAATTTGTTTGACGATATACTAACCACTCTATCCATATCCTTGGATCCATAGCGCATCAACTGCATGACGTGCACACCACACTCGGTACTATTCCTTTGCCCTTGAACGCGTAGCTCTTCAAAATTGAAATCTCCAAAATTTGGTACTGCAACATTGCTCATGCGCTCCAGTTTGAAAATATCATGCAATTTGGAAAACTACACACAAATAACGAATATTTTATTGCTTCTAGCATAATACGTGACGCTTAGTAGTCAGAAAATTATAGGAAACACTTACCAATTTCTTGCATAAGGCTGATTTACGCTTACGATTCGCCTCACTAGTTGAAGGTAGACTGTCAAGCAAAAATGCAGTTTTTTGCTGGAGATTGACGAGATACAGAAACTAATGAAGTGCTTCATCGTCAAGAACTGGCATAAATATCTAGCAACGAAACACTCACTATATGTTATTAAAAGGGAATGCAAACAAATGCACTTTCGAAATTTAATGAGATAGGGACATTGACTAACCTTCTCGCATGCACTAACATTCGGCACAAACACCACGCCATAATCCATCAACTTGTTACGAATTTGTCCGGTCTTCATGTTAGCGCGTATCATTTTCTGCACCATATTTTAATTGATATGAATTGACATGATACAATATTAATAACTAGGTTATGACAAATAAATAAACATTACGGCTCTTATCGAAAACATATTTGGCAAATACCACACATTTGGCTCTTTCACATCATGTTTTTCATACATTGTTAGTGCCCTTGCACACAAATCCACTACCTACCAACCAACAATCAAACACAAAATCCTTGTAAATCGTAACATTAATAGTGCACAATTGATACGAAATTTGTAGCAGTATAGTACTTACGGATGAGTAAATCCAGCTACTCTCGCTAATGACCGAACTCAAATAATTTCGTTGCACGTTTTCATAAAAAAAGTCAACAACGGTCAAACTGCAAAAATCAAAATAATAGAAATGTCAATTGTGATTCTAAACGTACAGGTCGACCTATTCACAGTCAAGGTCGACCTTGTTGGCTAAACGGTCGACCACATGTACTACTTAAAAAATCGTCTCTTACTTGTCCCAATTCGCGTCTCCAGCCTTCTCTTTAGTAACAACATAATACAAGTCTTCAACTTGATTTTGCATATTTTTGGTGAATCCTTCAAGGCCCTCCACTTTCATGACCTACAAATCATAGTTAAAATTAAAGTAACATATGAACACAAACACACATTATAGATGAATATGTAACGTAAACTTACTCCATGCCTTTCGAAATGACTCTTAGATTCATCTTCGTCGCTATCAGCACTAAATAATCATTTTCTTACAAAATGATCCTTCTGTGGAGTGGTGTAGGAGTCGCTTTCATATCAAGGTCTCTTGTACTTAGGAGAGGAACCCTTGCTGGAAAACGTTGTTTCACTCTGTCAAACATATAAACAAAACAAATTAGCACTAATGATAGTAATACTAATATCTTCACTCACATATGAAAATAATTGTCTACCTTTAAATTGTGCTCTTTCAATAAATCGTCTATGCTCTGGTAGCAATTTGCAGAGTCATCATGGTCTTCCTCCTCTTTATCAAAGTCAAATTTCTTTCTTGTAACATCTCTTCCTCCATTCTCCATTCGTTCTGCACTTATTTCTTTGATATCACCTTCTAGCCTCTCAAAACCATCATGCATCATCTCAATCATATCTATCAATCGAACTGACAATTGCTCCACTCTATCATGAATGGACTTCTGATAGTCATTGATTTGTTTTTGACACACCACCAACTACTCTTGTGTGGCTTTCAACACTTTCATGATTTCACCCAAATCGTGATGCAGTCTCTCATCATGCGTCATCGTCTTAACAATTTAAAGAAAAATTCAAATCATAATTCAACTTCAAATTTCTACAATTGACCAAAAACAGAGACGTGGTCGACCTGCCAAATTATTAGGTCGACCTTGAAGACAAATTGTGACTACCAGAACCTTTAAGGTCGACATCTGCTCTTCCTAGGTCGACCTATCCAGCAGGAAAATAACAATTCACCAACAAAAGCAAGTGTAATATTAAACCGAAAAATGGATAGGTCGACCAGATAGCTTGAGCGGCTGACCTTTTGAAGCACAACATAGTCTTACAAACAAATCCAAAGTCGACATTCAGGTTGAACAACCAAAACAAACAGAAACAGTCGATCTTGAGAAACATTGGTCGACCTATTGGGTTGATCTTCGTTACCTCGCAAGTACGAAATTCCAAGTGTTGTGCCCTAAATTCAATTCTGAACAATTGTCTCGTCGGGTCGACTTGATTGAGATAAGGGTCGACCGAATGGTATTCTGCACGCAACAATATATCAAATTAGACTGTGAAAATCACGCATTAGAGAAGATGATGGCGAATGCTACATTAGGTCGACCTCACCTTCGACGTGGTCGACCACTTTCAACACTTACAACAGCAACTACAAACGATCTTCTTCACAAAGGCTCTAAATCGGGAAAAAACCTAATTCAGAGTTTTGGTGGCGTTGAAGGGGACTTATATTCGTATTTATAGAACTTTAGGACATGAATGGGTCGACCCAATTCATTTTCTTGTCCAATTGTGGAACCTTTCTGGTGTTCGAATCCTAATCCAATACAGATACAGTGTGCATGCGGTCGACCTCGTACGGATGCAGTCGACCTATTAGGTGCAAAGGGGTCGGCCTATGAGGTATTTGGGTCGACCTTTCATTCTGTTCGACCCCCAAAGAGGTCGACCATTTTATAGACGGTCGACCGCGTCGCTGAACATAACATAACTGAAACAACACATTCGGTCGACCTCCTTTAGGATTAGGTCGACCGAAAAGTCCATGTTACGGTGACACATTTCACCGTAGCAAAGTCCAAAATTTCATTCTTCATAAGATATATATATATATAATTCGGGTTAGCATACTCTAACCTCATCGTACGCCTATCGAGTTTTACTATTTAAACAAATGAATTAATCAAAGTTTCGGGCATATGATATTATACCCTAGTTTCTAATGAGTGAACCCCGGTCCCTAATTCTCTAAGCCAAACCACAATATTCATTTAATCTAAAAATAATAATCGACGGTTTCGATTCGTCAAAACATATCAAAATACATATAAATATAATAAATGTGAATGTGAAGTGTATAATAGCCTTTTCATATATATTACTCTTCTTCTACCAATTCTTCTTCTTGTTGAATCATGCCTTGTATTCTAATAATGAGTTCTCAAATAATCATATTCTAGATTTTAACCCTCAAGTTTATTATAATACTAGATACGGGGCCGCACCATGTTGCGGTGGCTGTAGATGTTTTTTGGTTGGACCATGTTTGTTAATTTCTTGTGACGAAACTTTATATTATATGCAATTTTGTGCCATTCGGTGAACTGAGGAGTCTATAAAATACTTATTTAGCTAAACCACATAAATATAATGAAAAAAGTGATGTATTTTTTAATGTTAGGGTTCATCGTCATTCACGGGTTGAGTAGCATGTTAGAAGAACGCATAAAATAATTGAGAAAATGTAATAAACTTTTCCTCGAAGGAAGGACTGATTTGAATGGGGAAGACCCTATCACGTTATATTGAAAATACACTATTGTTAAATCGAGAAGCCAGTTAGAAATAGTGCACTAAACAACATCTCAAAGACTTTTTTATCAAAGGAAAACGAAGGATTCGAGCGATGGGAGTACACAAAAATTTCTCACAATTAGGATTTATGGTATTTCCCAAATTTTGAAGCGCGGAAACATGAAAATAACAACATAGAAATTTTTTTCTTTCGAAGGAAAGGACGAAGTGTGTCAGGAGAAGATTGATATTTTCGTTGTGGAGTTAAAAAATCTACTGTCAGGATCTATCATGTTCTTAAATGAAGAGCGCATACTACCAAGACCTTAAAATATCACGATGTTCATGTTTGAACAAATGGTTAACTGCTTGGAAGAAAACCGCCCATATGTGAGCAATCAGATGAACATTATGGATCAATCTTGGTTCTCAAATCAAAAAATGCATCCAAAATGAAGAAGGGGCAAAAATTACTATGTCGGGATCGTCTCCGTTAATGAATTGAAAAACATGTCTGAAAAATATATACAAAAGGGGTCAGGAAATTAATTTTCTTTTAAAAAATTCAGATATTACATATAATGCGAGTCATAAACTTAAGATGATTTTACAATAGAGATGACCATTATGGATCAACATTTATATTCAAATCAAGAAATAATTCATAGAGAAATCCAAGCTAAAAGAGAACCAAAAAATCATCGATGATAAGTCAATAACTATGGTGTGAATCATCGTCATTTTCTTATCAAGAAGTATATTAGAAAATACATATGCAAAAATGGATTTGAAAATATTTTTTAATAAATATTGAATGGATCGCCGCAAAGATGAATAGTATATGGTCGGGATGAATATTCATTTTCAAATTGAGAAATACATCGCAAAATAAACGT